CTTGGATTTTTATCAAACTATACAGCTAACTGAGTTATATACTTATCTTACTGAATCCTAGGTAACTAAGCAGTTTGATATATTGCTGTCAAATTCAAAAATTAAAATAATCTTTGTCAAAAAAGCTCGAATTTGCAGTTCGGACTAAATTCAGATAGTACACTTTAATTTTATTGATAACTTCACTGAAGTATATGGCCGCATTTTCCGACCTCACTTAAGAAACGTTTGTGTGAGAGTAAAGCCTATCCCTAACATTAACCCAAACACATAAACTATAAACGATAACGACATTCAGTCTTGACCATAGCCTTGGTTTACATATTTAAATTTTTGAGCACAGGTTCATGCTGAGAGTCATCCGATGATGCGGGTCCATCATCTTTTTCGGGACGACCACCTTAATCGAGAAGATCATCTCTTTCGAAACGACAATGGATTTGAATAGAATTATTTTTTTAAAGTTAACTCTTCCGAAAATATAAATAGGCGATTTAGAGGACGAAAACTTATTGTTAGGCTTGTCCGTCGAAAAGTACTCCCCCTTTCATGTCATTTTTTTTTATTTCAATCCGATCCCAAGATAAAGTAAGACCTTCAAAATAACAATTTAGGGTTAGGGTTAGAGTTACGGTTATGGTTAGGCTTTGGGTCAGGGTCAAGGTTAAGGTTTTCGTTAGGGTTTGGGTTAGGGTTAGTGATTGGATTATGGTATGGGACTTTTGATTTCTTAGTTTAGTGTATGAAAAGTGCCTCAAACTTGAATGTTAAAACAGGTGTAGAATGGATTCAGATAGAGATATTTTGTTAATGTTAACTTTTCCGAAAAGCTAAAAAGGCGATCTAGAGGATGAAGACTTATTGGTATCACTGAAATATATGGCCGCACTTTCCGACCTCACATAAGAAATGGTTGCGTGAGAGTAAAGCCTAACCCCAACATTAACCCAAACACTTGAACTACAAAAGATAACGATATTCAGTCTTTACCATAGTCTTGGTTTAGATATATTTTAATTTCAATCCGATCGGAACACTGGATCATGCTGAGATCTAGCAAAGATCGACTTTGAAGTCTACCAAAATCATAACCTGATCCCCATCCTTCCAAAACTGTGATTTTCGAGACGTTCGTGAAAAAAACTTAATACAAAAATACAACTCGGCTGTGATTTTTTATGTGCTGGGTTAGGTTGTTTTAATTTATTTATTCGTTTTTATTCTGTAGTTAATCACCACTTCGGTTTATCATGAATATTTATCATACAGTCATTTTATAGAAAATTACTGTTTGCAAAAGTATGAATTATTCTATATAGAAAGGATGTTCTTGTCCCAGGCAGAAAACTCTAGCCGTATGAGGCACAACTATTCGGAACCTTTGGTCCTCAGTGCTCTTCGGCTTTGCGCTTGTTTTGGCTTTCGAATTTTTTTTTTATGTGTTTCCCTCAGTTTTAGTTTGTAACCCGGATTTGTTTTTTCTCAATCGATTTATGAATTTCGAACAACAGTATACTACTGTTGCCTTTATCAACCACCAAGACTACTTGTATTTATCCCTACCGAGATAAAGTAAGGCCTTCAAAATACTGATTTAAAGGAATTTTGGGTTTGGGTTTTTAATCCTAACAGATGTGACAATTATCGGTCGGAAGCATAAGTCGTCGTACCGAGATAACTATTTATAGATAGGGTTACTGATGTGCCCTTTTTCACTTCTGCGCATGTCTGCCCTTTTTTGTGACTGCGCATGCGCGAGTAGGGTAAGGGTTAAGGTTAAGGTGAGGGTTAGGGTTAGGGTAAGGGTTAGGATTAGAGTTAGGGTATTAGGAATTTCAGAGAATAATGGGTCGTGGTATCAATTTAAAGGTAACCGTTGTGATATGGCTGGCGTATGAATATATGAGGGTAAGGGTTAGGGAAGGGGACTTTGGCGAGATTTTTGCACTTTTTGACTTCTACGCATGTGTGCACTTTTTAACTTCTGCGCATGCGTGAAAATATTGACTTACAGTAAGGGGTAAAACGTAGCTCTGTCGTTAGTGGTCTATTGTGGAGAGTTGTCTCATTGGCAATCATACCAAATCTTCTTTTTTTTTATATTTATCTTTTCGGAACAGTTCACTTTAAAAAAAAATCTCTATTTAAATCCATTGTAGTCCCGAAACAGATGGTCGTCCCGAGTAAGATGGTCGTCCCGAAAAAGCTGATGGACCCGCATCCTCGGGACGACAACTTATGCTTCCTGCCGCTAATTGTCACATCGATTAGGATTTAAGGCATACAGATTCGGTGCATCAGACACTGTGAGAAGGTAACGCAAACCCAAAATTCGTTAAAATCGGTATTTTGAAAGCCTTACTTTATCTCTGAAAAGATAAGGATAAGTAGTCTTAGGGGTAACCGATTGTATTTTCTGATAAAGAATTTTCACGAACGTCTCAAAAGTCATAGTTTCTGATGGGTCGGGGTCAGGTTATGGTTTTCGGTACTTTTCAAGATATCAGCATGATTCTGTGCTCCTATCGGATTGACATTAAAATATCTATCCTAAAAAGGAAACCAAGACTATGGTGAAGACAGTATGTCTTTATCTTTTGTAGTTTAAGAGTTGGGGTTAATGTCGGGGTTAGGCTTTACTCTCTTACAAACGTTTCTTCAGTGAGGTCGGAAAGTGCGGTCGTACACCTCAGTGTTACCAATAAGTTTCAGTCCTCTAGATCACATTTTTCTGTTTTTAAGAACAGTTAATTTTAAGAAAACATCTCTATGCAAATGAATTCAACACATGTTTGAATAGTGAAGTCACTTTTTGAACACTGTACTTTTGGGGAAATGTCACGCATGTGCAGAATTGACAAAGGGCACTTCAATTGTCAAATATTCGCTCAAGTTCACTTCCTCTTACCCTGACTCCGACTTGGTACAGGCGTTTCCTCATGTATAATTATAAATTCACTCTTCTGAGATGCTTTTAATGCCAATTATAGCTATTTTGATTAAGAAAATAAATATATACAGATTTCTTCTGTTTGCAATTAGTTTAAAGCCAATGTAATCACAAAACCTGTACATAACATAGGATATTTTCACCCTTTAATCGTTATAAAAAATATATAAAATTACTACACAAGATCTTGAGGGTTTTTTTCATGATCTATTTCTCTGGAAACAGATGAATTGTTCATGGAGAAATAAGAACAAAACAGTAATGAATCTTTTATTTGCGGTGTGATATTCACAACAAAATATACATGTATGTATGCAGTTTACAAATACAACAAAAATAAACACTAAACGTACACTCTCATACACTTTTATATAACAACATAAAAAAATATACTTAACATTCTTATCAGTTAGCACTAAATACCTTGCATTTCATTTCACAACAAACACACATGATTTATAAATAACACATACAAACTACTACACACTCACATAGCACAAAAAGTAGACCTAAAAAGCAAGCACTAAAAAAATTATATTTACATTTTTACATCAAACATTCTAACAACTATACACTGACAAAAACAAAGATTGTGAATTTTTCAAAGAGAAAGTTTAATAATAATGTTACTTTTAAACTATGTAATTAAATTATTGAAATTAAAGATTCATATGTTTATCTTGGTCTGCTGTGTAATTACAACGGAAACTTCTTTTAAGCTCGAAAAAAAAAATTGGTAGACTTTATTTGATGCATTGTTGGTTCCTATTTTGACCTATTCCTCGGAAATATGGGAGTTTGAAAATAAAAATAATACAGAAAAAAATACATCTACAATTTTGTAAGCGCATTTTGGGGGTGCGATCGTCTACGCCAAATTGTATGGTGTATGGGGAACTTGGAAGATTTCCATTTGAACTGCAAATCAAGTTAAAATTGGGATGTTTTTGGTACAAGCTAGCAACAAATGATATAAAAAACTATCGGGTAAACTGTATAAGTTACTTTGGTACATGCATGAACATGGAGGTTATGATATCAAATGGTTTAACTATGTAAAATCTGTGTTTAATGACCGAGGCTTTTGTGAACTATATAATATTCCGGAGCAAATTGATGTTAATTATATTAAAATTAATGTAAGGCAGCGTCTCCAGGACCAGTTTATTCAAAAATGGTTATCTGATATAAACTACTCATCAAGGGGGTTTTTATTTACATTTTAAAGAAGAGTTTTGCTCAAAACCATATCTGTTAAAATTAAGGCGGGGTCATAGAGTAAATATATGTAAATTAAGGGTATGTAATACAAAGTTTCCCATCGAAACAAGAAGATGGAGAAATGTACCACGAAATGACAGAATTTGTCCACTTTGCAAAGCAGGTCTTGGGTATGTATACCACTATATATGTAAATGTACCAATTGTGAAGTTAAGGATTTAAGGGGGAAGTTCATACCTCCATATTATTTAAAATATCCAAATGTAAAAATAGTACTATGCATGCTTAAACATTGTAATAGTAAAGTGCTGTCTAAACTAATTACGCATTCTTCTTCGGATGAGTTTTCTTTAATAAACTATAAACTATAAACTATAAACTAAACAAAAAAAAAGCACTGGAAAACAGTCCTATCACATATCTGTTCCATATTGCACCCACATCTACCTCTACCTCTTTCCTCTGGTTTTTAATGAAACCTGTAAAATAAAGAACCGGTATTACTAATAATTACTACCTCCTCTCCTATTACTAGTAGTATGTTCGTATGTTCGTATATTTGGTTTTCTTTCTTTTTTAAGGGGAGGTGGGATGTGTTCCTTGAAAAAAAAAAGAATGCATAGTGTGATCTTGTTTTACATCTTGATCATTAGGACTTCAATAAAGAAGGAATAAAAAGAAAGTAACTTTTTATCAGTGTGCACTAAGTTCCGTGCAAGTAATATGTATTTAATGAATAATTGTATTCGTGAAAACGATCGTTGTAAATATAAAACCAAAAGTTATCAAATTGGTTCTACACTATCATAAATCGAGCAAAAATCTTACCTAAAAACGGATTGGCTCCATCTCTATCAGGTCTAAATTGGTGTCAATGACCATCATGTCATCAAAATCTATAAGGTGAATTGCACCTGGAGTTGGTGACAGTGCTGGAGTTGTGTCAACTGGAGTTGGTGACAGTGCTGAAGCTGTGTCAATTGGTGTTGGTGAAGGTGGTCCAGCCTGTATTGATATGCAAATGAAATATAAGTTGTTATCTTAAAATTTCTTGTATTGGTAATCAATTAATATTTCTAATAGAATCTTACAAAAACAAATGTTCAACAACACGTCGGTACTTGTACATACGATTTTGAAATGTTGAAAAGTAGTGCCATATTCTGTGTTACCTAAAGTAACGGGTTTTTTGTTGGCTACTATATTGAACTGTATGTCATCGAGTGATGTTAGGCACATAATATTACCTGATGGTTTCTGGAAAGATGGATTTGCAGGTCTTCTTTTCTTCTGTACACTTTCTTGCAGGTATCACATGCAAATCTGCCTGCTCCCTGGTGTGTCTTCTGACTAGCTTTCTATAACAAAAACAATGGAATTGTCTACAGATCCCTCCTTTTTTAAACTTATGACATAGTATATCGCGTATTTGCGTTTCTGTACGATAAGGTATAATCCATAGTCGAAGAACTGAATAAAATTTAAACCATTATTGAAATTTGATAAATGATTGAACTCGAATAAACATTTGATAAGGATAGGCGCAGAAATCGCGCTGCAGATGCAACCAGAACGGTATCTCTCATTAACATTGTCGATAATAAAATCAGAAATCTCATTCTGCATTTGTACGGAACAATTATATGATGTAATTCCATTTCACTGGTACATTTGTATGACACAAATTACAATAATATAAAATCGACTCATGTTGTATACTGCTTAAAAATTTTGTACCAAATAATTACCTGGTGTACTGTTCTTTCATGTCTTCTCAGGGAATCTTTTGATTTGAATGTCTTAGTACATTCTCCACAACCAAGGTCATGTTCTGTGTGGACAAACCTGACATGCCTTGAACGGCCCGATCTTGACAGAAATTCTTTGTTGCAGGTACCGCACATGTAAGTCTGAAATATAAAAACAAAGCATTTAAAATATATGATCACATTTTTGGGGGACAATTATATATATAATATTTATATTGATCACAATAAAAAGTGACAATACTTTTTTATTTTATTAATATTCATGAAATTGCTTCATATTTGGTTATTTTTTTCACAAAAATGATTTTTAGAAATATAGGTAAAAAAAAAATAGGTTTACAATTGCATAATTTGTAGTCACTTGCCAAAAAAAAAGGGCCAACATTTTCAATCTTGCTTGTATATTATACAACAACATCTAAATTATGTTCTTTTTGCCCTCAAGGATGAATAGTTTTACAAAAAAAGAGAGCTGTATAAGTCTAGGATTAGCATTATTCATGTCAATAATGATTAAAAGTGACAATATTTCTTTTTTTCATTAATATTTTTGTACTTTCCCGTTATTTGAGTCATTTTTATACCTCATGTTGGAAAGTTACACATAAAAGTGAAGAATATTTACTTTCGAATTGAAAGCCATGTTGTTTCATTATAAAAAAAAAATATCGATATTTTTAATTTTGTTAGAATATTTTACTAGAACATTTAAATTCTGTTCTTTTTGTCAGTAAGGATGAATAGTTTTTCAAAAAATTAGTATTCTAATAGTCTATAGTTACTAATATGTATGCTGATAGCATTAAATAATGACAATATGTCTTTGATTATTTATATAATTTTGAACTAGTCTGATAATTGGGTACTTTTCATAACTAAGATTGATTTGTTAGACATAAATGTGAAGAAGTTTCAGTTTTGAAATTTAAAAAAATATTGTCGCATAAAACAAAGGTGCCATATTTCATTTTATTAAAATACTATACAACAGCATTACAATTTTGTTCTTTTTCTCCCTAAGGAAGAATAGTTTTACAAAAATTGAGAGATGTATAAGAGTAGGGTTAGTAATATGTACATCAATAACAATAACAAGTGATGATACTTCTTTTATTTTTTCATATTCTTGTACTGCCATCATATTTTGGTAATTCTTACTCAACAAAATGGATTTTAAGACATAAAGGTAAAGAAATTTAAGTTTAAAGTTGCACAATTTGTTGCCACACACAAAAAAAGTGCCAAGTTTTCATTTGTTTTAGAATATTATACAAAGGGCATCTAAATCATGTTCTTTATGTCCATAAGGATGAGTGGTTTTACAAAAATAGAGAGCTGTATAAGGTTATCATTAATTATGTCGATAATGATAAAAAGTGACAATATTTCTTTTTTCAATAAAGTCGCATTACAATTCTGTTCTTTTTAGCTGATAGCTCTATAAGTGTACTATTAGAAATATTCATATCCTTAACAATTAAAAGTGACAATACTTCTTTTGTTCTATTATTATTTTTTACTGCCTTTATATTTGGGTATTTTCATTCCACAGAATAGATTTTTATATAAACAGGTAGTTTTAAATGGCAAAATGAGTTGCCACATGCAAATAAAATGCCTAAATATTCATTTGTTTTAGAATCTTTTACAACGTCATCTTAATTATGTTTTTATTTATGCCTAACGATGAATGGTTCTAAAAAAAAACAAGGGCTATATGAGTCTATATTTATGTCCATAATGATAAAAGGTGACAGTAATTTTCATTAATATTTTTGTACTGGCCTGACATTTGAGTAATTTTATACCTCAGATTTGCTACTCATAAAAGTGAAGAATTTTTTGTTTTCAATTGCAAATATGTTGTCTCATTATTGAAAATAACTAATACTTCGGTTAGTAATATTTATATCTATCACAATAAAAAGTGATGCTTCTTCTTTTATTTTATTGATATAAATATAAGTTTAGAATTGCAAATTTTTTTTCAATTTTATTAGAATTTTACACAACAACATCTAAATCATGTTTTTTTTTGTGTGCCCAAGAATGATTAGTTTTACAAAAATCAAGATGTATAAGTCTCAGGTGAACATTATTCATGTCGAATAAAGGTGACAATATGTCTTCTGTTTCTATATATTCTTGAACTGGTCTGATAATTGATAACTTTTTATACCTCAGATTGGTTTGTTAGACTTGAACGTGAAGAAATTTAAGTTAAGAAATTAAAAAAATTGATGTCGCTTAAGAAATAGATGCTAATAATTTCTATTTTATTAGAAAATTATACAATGTCATTACAATTCTGTTCCTTTTGGCAATTCGGAGGAATAGTTTTACTAATTTTACTAGAATTGCAAAATTTGTTGGTACATGCAATAAAAGTGCTGATTTTTTTCAATTTCATTAGAATATTATACAACAACTGAATCCCAAGTAACTAGGTAGTTTGATATATTGCTGTCAAATTCAAAAATTAATATAATCTTTGTCAAAAAAACTTGAACTTCAAGTTCGGACTAAATTCAGATAGTACACTTTAATTTTATTCATAACTTTTTCAAACCAACTTGGATTTACATTAGACTATACAGCTATATCAGTAATACATTGAACTTATTGAATCCAAGGTTTTATGCAGTTTGGTGTATTGCTGTCAAATTCAAAAGTTCAAATAATCTTGGTCAAAAAAGCTCAAATTTGCAGTTCAGACTAAATTTAGATAGTACACTTTAATTTTATTAATAACTTTTTGAAACACCCTTTGATTTTCATCAAATCATACATCTATCTCATTTATATATTGACCTTACTGAATCCAAGGTGCTTTTGTAGTTTGGTGTATTGGTGTCAATTCAAAAATTAAAATAATCTTGGTCAAAAAACCTAGAATTTGCAGTTCAGACTAAATTAAGATAGTACACTATAACATTTTTCATAACTTTTTTAAATTACCTTGGATTTTCATCAAACTATGCAGCTAACTGAGTTATAGATTTATCTTACTGAATCCCAAGTAACTAGGTAGTTTGATATATTGCTGTCAAATTCAAAAATTAAAATATTCTTTGTCAAAAAAGCTTGAATTTGCAGTTCGGACTAAATTCAGATAGTAAACTTTAATTTTTTTTATATCTTTTTCAAACAACTCTTGATTTTCATCAAATTATACATTTATTTCATTTATATATTAACCTTACAGAAACCAAGGTGGTTATATAGTTTGGTATATTGCTGTCAATTCAAAAATTAAAATAATCTTGGTCAAAAAACCTAGAATTTGCAGTTCTAATTAAAATAAGATAGTACACTATAACATTTTTCATAACTTTTTTAAATTACCTTGGATTTTCATCAAACTATACAGCTAACTGAGTTATAGATTTATCTTACTGAATCCCAAGTAACTAGGTTTTTTGATATATTGCTGTCAAATTCAAAAATTAAAATATTCTTCGTCAAAAAAGCTTTAATTTGCAGTTCGGACTAAATTCAGATAGTAAACTTTATTTTTTTTTATAACTTTTTCAAACAACTCTTGATTTTCATCAAATTATACATTTATTTCATTTATATATTGACCTTACTGAAACCAAGGTGTTTATATAGTTTGGTGTATTGCTGTCAATTCAAAAATTAAAATAATCTTCGTAAAAAAACCTAGAATTTGCAGTTCAGACTAAATTCAGATAGTACACTATAACATTTTTCATAACTTTTTTAAATTACCTTGGATTTTCATCAAACTATACAGCTAACTGAGCTATATATTGATCTTACTGAATCCCAAGTAACTGGGTAGTTTGATATATTGCTGTCAAATTCAAAAACTAATATAATCTTTGTCAAAAAAGCTTGAACTCCAAGTTCGGACTAAATTCAGATAGTACACTTTAATTTTATTCATAACTTTTTCAAACCAACTTGGATTTACATTAAACTATACAGCTATATCAGTAATACATTGAACTTACTGAATCCAATGTTTTATGCAGTTTGGTGTATTGCTGTCAAATTCAAAAGTTCAAATAATCTTGGTAAAAAAAGCTCAAATTTGCAGTTCAGACTAAATTTAGATAGTACACTTTAATTTTATTAATAACTTTTTTAAACACCCTTTGATTTCCATCAAATTATACATCTATCTCATTTATATATTGACCTTACTGAATCCAAGGTGCTTTTGTAGTTTGGTGTATTGGTGTCAATTCAAAAACTAAAATAATCTTGGTCAAAAAACCTAGAATTTGCAGTTCAGACTAAATTAAGATAGTACACTATAACATTTTTCATAAATTTTTTAAATTACCTTGGATTTTCATCAAACTATGCAGCTAACTGAGTTATAGATTTATCTTACTGAATCCCAAGGTACTAGGTAGTTTGATATATTGCTGTCAAATTAAAAAAATTAAAATATTCTTTGTCAAAAAAGCTTAAATTTGCAGTTGGGACTAAATTCAGATAGTAAACTTTATTTTTTTTTATAACTTTTTCAAACAACTTTTGATTTTCATCAAATTATACATTTATTTCATTTATATATTAACCTTATTGAAACCAAGGTGGTTATATAGTTTGGTATATTGCTGTCAATTCAAAAATTAAAATAATCTTGGTAAAAAAACCTAGAATTTGCAGTTCTAATTAAAATAAGATAGTACACTATAACATTTTTCATAACTTTTTTAAATTACCTTGGATTTTCATCAAACTATACAGCTAACTGAGTTATAGATTTATCTTACTGAATCCCAAGTAACTAGGTTTTTTGATATATTGCTGTCAAATTCAAAAATTAAAATATTCTTCGTCAAAAAAGCTTGAATTTGCAGTTCGGACTAAATTCAGATAGTAAACTTTAATTTTTTTATATCTTTTTCAAACAACTCTTGATTTAAATCAAATTATACATTTATTTCATTTATATATTAACCTTATTGAAACCAAGGTGGTTATATAGTTTGGTATATTGCTGTCAATTCAAAAATTAAAATAATCTTGGTCAAAAAACCTAGAATTTGCAGTTCTAATTAAAATAAGATAGTACACTATAACATTTTTCATAACTTTTTTAAATTACCTTGGATTTTCATCAAACTATGCAGCTAACTGAGTTATAGATTTATCTTACTGAATCCCAAGTAACTAGGTAATTTGATATATTGCTGTCAAATTAAAAAATTAAAATATTCTTTGTCAAAAAAGCTTGAATTTGCAGTTCGGACTAAATATAGATAGTAAACTTTATTTTTTTTTATAACTTTTTCAAACAACTCTTGATTTTCATCAAATTATACATTTATTTCATTTATATATTGACCTTACTGAAACCAAGGTGTTTATATAGTTTGGTGTATTGCTGTCAATTCAAAAATTAAAATCATCTTCGTAAAAAAACCTACAATTTGCAGTTCAGACTAAATTCAGATAGTACACTATAACATTTTTCATAACTTTTTTAAATTACCTTGGATTTTCATCAAACTATACAGCTAACTGAGCTATATATTTATCTTACTGAATCCCAAGTAACTAGGTAGTTATATATATTGCTGTCAAATTCAAAAATTAATATAATCTTTGTCAAAAAAGCTTGAATTTCAAGTTCGGACTAAATTCAGATAGTACACTTTAATTTTATTCATAACTTTTTCAAACCAACTTGGATTTACATTAAACTATACAGCTATATCAGTAATACATTGAACTTACTGAATCCAATGTTTTATGCAGTTTGGTGTATTGCTGTCAAATTCAAAAGTTCAAATAATCTTGGTCAAAAAAGCTCAAATTTGCAGCTCAGACTAAATTTAGATAGTACACTTTAATTTTATTAATAACTTTTTTAAACACCCTTTCATTTTCATCAAATCATACATCTATCTCATTTATATATTGACCTTACTGAATCCAAAGTGCTTTTGTAGTTTGGTGTATTGGTGTCAATTCAAAAATTAAAATAATCTTGGTCAAAAAACCTAGAATTTGCAGTTCAGACTAAATTAAGATAGTACACTATAACATTTTTCATAACTTTTTAAAATTACCTTGGATTTTCATCAAACTATGCAGCTAACTGAGTTATAGATTTATCTTACTGAATCCAAAGTAACTAGGTAGTTTGATATATTG